TCTTAATCTATTAAATTTATTATTCAATATTAACATATTTATGTTAAAGTCACCCGCAATTTTAACTTTTTGTTTATTTTTTCACGTAGCTTATGTAATAAAGCATCAAGTTTAGTAAAAAATGCACTTAATTCCGAGTTTGGTGTTATATAAATACAAATAATGATACATTTTTGTTCAGTCAATTCTATACCGCAACATTCAAACTCAATTTCCTTTGAAAAAGGTTGTACAAAATCTAAGATACGATAATTGAAATTGTGTTTTACAAGAATACACACACCACCACGTTTTGATTCTTTTCTTGAGAAATTGGCAGCCAGTTTAAAGTTTTTAAAAATTACGTTTTCTTCATCTCCATTTTTTACAAACGTTTCAGTGAGATAAATCACGTCTATTGGTTCTTTAATGTAATCAAATTCTGCGATGCACGCCTCAAGTAAGTCTAATTTTCCTAGTAATCCTGCTATGTGTTAACAGTGGTAGAGCCACACGGCAGCTTTTGCTGTCGCACGGATGGGCCAGCTCGAACCGGGGTAGTACCACCTCACAGAAATCTGCGTTTCGCTTGGTGAGTGTAGGTGGCTGGAGGCCTTTTTTACTGGAAATGAGGCATTCCATCTTAGTCCTCACGGGTGACAACGCATCTACATTTTGATTTGTAACAGAGGATAGATGTAGATGTCTATGGGCGCAGCAACCACTTACCATCAGGTGGACTGTGTGCTCGTTTGTCACCCTTCTCCTATAAAAAAAAATGTTTTGGTGAAATACTAGCATACAGGAATTTCCTATTTTATGCATTTTATCATTTACTAAAATACTGTTTCCAGAGATATCTAATGCCTTATTTTCGAAATAAACTATTTTGTTGTAGAACTGGAAAGTAAAATGGGAGAGTTCCTTTTTTGAACTTTAAAGATTCCTTACACTCACTCACATTCTCTATATCATCCAATTTTACCAAAGATTCATCATTTAAAATGTTTTCTTTTGTTTTGTTTTTTATATTTGCGAAATAGTAAGGAATTGTACCTTTCTTATATACTTTATCAATTATTTCAAAACATTTAATTACAGCTGAACGTTGTTTAATAATATCTTTTAATTGGTAATAATCTAAAAATTGTTGGTCATAATCTATACAATCAATTATATAGTTAATATTTTTACAGGTGTTAAATATATTTTTATTATAGGAATTTTCTCTTATGAAATAATAGTTTTTATATTGATTACATACTTTTATAATATTGGAATTTAACATCCCCGCATTTAAATATCTACTATTTAAAACACTTAAAATAATTATAGTATGTTTCCTCAGTTGTTTTAATCTTATGTATAATTCTGATGTAACAGCTAAAGGATTTTCATCGTTTTCACCAACACAAATAATAATTCTGTCTGACAAACCATAGTCTTGATTGAGAACACAAGTTTTTAGTACACTTTCAGTTAAGGCATCAGGTTTTGTATAACCGATTATATCTTATGCCTCATATTTAGTATTTTCTCTCGAACGAAGCAGCGCTGAGGCTAGGCCAACACATTGTTGCGTCCCAAATATAATTATTTTTTTATTTTTAACATTGCAATTTGTTTTACTCATATGCTGAATATCTTCCTCCAACTTATTTTCTAGTTTTATGTTTTTATTTGGTGTTAATAATAGATTATTTTTGTCATTCAACTTAGCGTCTATTATTGCCACCTTTGGCGCTTCTAAATCTAATTTATTAGGTTTTTGCGTTGCTAAATCTAATTTATTAGGTGTTTGTATTACTAAATCTAAATTTTTAGGTGTTTGGAGTAAAGCGCTGTTTTTTTGAGCATTTATTTTTTTAGGACTATTGGATAAACATATCATGAGTAATCTTTTTGTTTTTGCTGCTAATTTTTCAACCTCTTTTTCTAGTTCCTGTTTCTCAAGAATAAACTTTTCATTTCCATATGCGCACTGTCTAATTCAAGTTGTAATTCGGAGTTTTTTTGTTTTAATTCAATAGATTCATCATTTACTAATGTCGATAGATCTGGTAGCCTTTTTATTATGTTTGAATCTTCGGATGATAAGGAAGTTTCAGGATCCGAGTACGTTTCTATTCGTTTGCGATTTTTCATTCTGTTTTGGAAATTATTGGTAGTTAATAGTTGATGACATAAGTTTTCACTTTAATTTTTACTTTTATGCAGCATTTCATATTGTGTGACATTATTTTTTGAGATATTGAGTTGTTTTTTAACACTGTCAGAAATATCAGCATTAGGTGAAAATATGTTTTTAGTATTTTTCTTATGTATGCACTGATCACATTTCCATTTAGATTTTTTTTCAATATTCATAGCATTAAATCCTCTAATGGACATATTTATGCAATTTAGATCATATATTTCATTACAAATAAAACATTTTAAGATATCTTTAGAAGTGATCACTTTCTTGCAATGGGTGCAGATATTCATAATTGTCTTTATAGAAGTCGTTGACAAATTTTTGTTCTTCTGTGATGACATTTTAATGAAAGGTTAATAAAATAAGTATTATCTAATTTCTTTTAGGTCTCTTCCTTTTCAAGTAAAAAAGTAAAAAACTTGCCTTATGATTATATACAGTAAATAATGAGATCTCCAAATGCATGCGGCGGGACTTACGCAACTTCAATACAGCTCGTATTGAAGAAGCGATCGAGCGGAACCAAGGCTCCAAAGTCTTTGCCAGAGATCTGTCTGCCAGAAAGAGCCAACTGTCAAAGCTGAAGACCGAATGTGGCAGCATCGTTTCCGGGGCACCTGAGATTTTGAGTGAGATTGAGAGGTACTATGGGCAGCTGTACACGTCATCGTTGGAGCCACACGCAAGTGTGAGTAACGATCCAAGAGCGAGTCTTATCCGACATTATTCCGATGATATCCCGGACGTCAGTCTGAGCGAGATTAGAATGGCTCTCCAGCACCTTAAAAACGGCAAGGCCCCAGGCCAGGATGGAATTACAGCGGAGCTTCTGAAAGCGGGTGGAAAACCGGTACTTGAAGTCCTTCAGAAGCTCTTTAATTCCGTCCTCCATGGTGGTATTACACCGGAGGCGTGGAGCAGAAGTGCGGTGGTCTTGTTCTTCAAGAAAGGCGACAACGCTCTCTTGAAGAACTACAGACCGATTTCCCTTCTGAGCCGCGTCTACGTGCTGTTTTCAAGAGTCATTACGAATCGTCTCCCGCGCAGACTTGACGACTTCCAGCCTCCCGAACAAGCCGGTTTCCGAAAAGGCTTTAGCACCATAGACCACATACATACCCTTCGGCAAATTGTACAGAAGTCCGAGGAGTACAATCTGCCACTATGTCTGGCGTATGTGGACTATGAGAAAGCCTTTGATTCCGTCGAAATTTGGGCGGTGCTGCAGTCCCTTCAGCGATGCCAAGTTGACTGCCGGTATATCGAAGTGTTGAAGTGCTTGTACAGTAGGGCTAGGATGGCTATCCGAGTACAGAACCAGAGTACGAAACCTATCCAATTGCAGAGAGGTGTAAGACAGGGTGACGTCATATCCCCGAAACTCTACCGCTGCATTGGAAGATGTTTTCAAGCTTCTGGACTGGAAAGGATACGGTATCAACATCAATGGCGAGTACATCACTCACCTTCGATTTGCCGACGATATAGTCCTTATGGCAGAATCGCTGGAGGACCTAAGCACTATGCTCAATGACCTCAATAGTGTTTCCCAACGGATAGGTCTTAAGATGAACATGGACAAAACAAAGATCATGTTTAATGTCCATGTCACACCTATGCCGGTAGTTGTTGGGAACACTAAGCTCGAAGTTGTTGACGAGTATGTTTACCTGGGACAAATAGTCCGACTAGAAAAGTCCAACTTCGACCGAGAGGTCAATCGACGGATTCAACTTGGTTGGGCAGTGTTCGGGAAATTACGGCACATCTTCTCGTCAGGTATACCTCAAAACTTGAAAACGAGACTGTACACCCAGTGCGTGTTGCCAGTGATGACATACGGAACTGAGACGTGGTCCTTCACTGCTGGCCGGATGAGGAAGCTCAAGGTCGCTCAGCGAGCTATGGAGAGGGCTATGCTCGGAGTTTCTCTGCGTGATAAACTCAGAAATGAGGATATCCGCAGTAGAACCAGAGTGACCGACATAGCCCGACGGATTAGTAAGCTGAAGTGGCAATGGGCCGGCCATATAGCTCGAAGAACCGACAACCGATGGGGAAGAAAGGTTCTCGAGTGGCAGCCTCGTACCGGCAGGCGAAGTGTAGGGCGTCCCTCCACTAGATGGAGTGACGACCTGGTAAGATATGCAGGAAGTCGATGGATGCAGGTGGCTCAGGACCGTGCTTTGTGGCATTCTTTGGGGGAGGCCTATGTTCAGCAGTGGACTTGTGAAGGGCTGTAATGATGATGATGATGATGAAATAATGAGATATGCAACCGACGTAGTCTTGGGTATAGTACGTATCCGCAATGTATTAGCGACAATACTTGTTTACATCACGGTCCAAAGTTCATTATGTTAAGTAAACAACAGAGTTATAGACTAACAAACTTTTGTATAAACAAAATTTAAAAAATCATCCATTATTTCATTATAATTTGGAATTGTTTATGGTTTATTCTGATTATCTTGTGATTTGCAATTATTTTTATATCATAAAAACTGTATAATTACACTTTTTTTAAACTTAGACGTTTTAAAATTTTTCTGACGAACTTTTCAAATTAAAGTATAGTTTTCGTAACTCACTATTACACATAACAATCACTTATTTGTTACCTATTACAACTGTTCGTGTTATTTGTATATTTATGAGCGTTTACTATTTTTTAAGAATTTTGTACTAAGCGCAACAGTCACGTCGTGTGCGCATCGCGTATAGACTATATATTGTTTATAGTAACTTCTCCCATAATTTTCCACATTTTGCTGTTCACCTATTGCGATCTCATTATACGGGTTAAGTCTCGTATGATACTTACCGTTTTTGCAATCTTCTTGCCTGTGGTAAAGTAGATGGATCTTCTTTGCAGCAATATTCACGAGCTCCCTTCATATAATTTCTTATATATGCGTTCCAATTTATTACCTGAAAATTAAGAAAACTAATTTCTCGTGGTAGAGCTATGCTGCAGCTATATTAGTAGTATAGTTCTAGCACGAATGGGTCGGCTCGACCGGGGAAGGACCACGCTCTCACAGAATACCAGCGTAAAATAGCAGCTTAATGCTGCTGTGTTTCGTGTGGTTAGTGTAGAGAACCGGAGACCCTTTTTACTGGAAAGGAGGCATTCCATCTTAGTCCTCACGGGTGACAACGCATTTGCATTTTGATTCGTAATCGAAGATAGATGTAGATGTCTATGGGCCACAGCCACCACTTACCATCAGGTGGACTGTGTGCTCGTTTGTCACCCTTATACTATAAAAAAAAAACGCCATGGGTTGACTGGCAGAGAATGCTAACTGGCATTAAGTCCGCCCTTTATAACCTTTTTATTGGTTAGTTTAATAAAATTTGAAATAAATAAAGAACTATTGGCATGCCTGAAGCGTTTAATTTTTTTAAAGTTATTTAAATACACACAAGTTTTCACTAATAACCTTATTATTATACTTCCAATTTTCCGATAATTTAATGTCAAACTTCAATTTAAAAAAAAGTTGGAAAATCCAAAAGTGCACGACGAAAGATGCTCATATTATGATCATCATATCATTATTCAGGTCGCTATTAATTATATTATTATATGGTATTTATATATAAATTATACTTACTTTTAGTACGTAGTACTATTATTTATTCTGTGCTTTTAAAATATTGTAATAAAAATCTGTGATAATAATACTAATCAAGTGTATCAAATTTTGAATATTTTGTATTTGTACAGAGATCTTTTTTAGAACGATCCGCTGCATATAACCGATACAATATCTACTCATGACGGCGGCTGAACCCGAAGTGAGTGAGTGACGGAGTCTATTTAGTAAAAGAATTATTTAGTAAAAGAAATTATTACACGGCTGCTCAAAATATAGAAAAAAATTAATTATAACTAAAGTAAACAAAATTAAACTGCCATTTACATTCTATGGCTTCCCACATGATTGATGAAGAGATTAAAAAATACATTGAGTTAAAAAAATTATATTTTCAAAAGTTATCGTGTTTACCACTCCATGCGAACTTTATAAATCCAAACCATAAGCTACCAAAACAACTTTTTTATGTAAAAATAGCAATTAATCGATTTAAAAAAAATAAGTTCAACTAAATTTTATTTTAATACAATTTTTAAATAATAATATTATTATTCCACTATACAAAACAATAAGTTTTATGAACAGTGGTCAAGAGAATGTTGTTTAGTTTCACGAGATTGAGAATAGATCGTCTCACCGGTAATCTATTCCTTTACGTTAGTGTCGTAAGAAACCTATCAATAGTTAATTTTTTACCGACTTCAAAAAGGAGGAGGTACTGAATCGACCTTTATGTGTGTTACCTCATAACTTTTTGATTGTTTTTTTATTTGAAAGCTGGTGCTTCTCATAGTGGTCACATATAAATTTGATCAAGGTGTCATCAGTGGTTTTTGAATTACATTTAATAATTTATATTGAAGTCGGTTGTATGAAATTTTATATTTAAAAAAAATGCTTCTTACCCCAATATCCGTATAGAATATTTCGTTGTCCTGCTTTGAAATCTTATTCTGTAATGATAAGAAGTAATCGTTTTTGAAAAACCACTCCTTCGTCGTGTAATACTGTAACACCTCGAGGCCGTAGTTGACACGTTTCTGTATTTTCACCATACTGGAGAAAAAATAAATATGGACATTTTAGTAGCGTAGTGTGTTTTTCGATTACTGTAGAGAGATAATGGCCTCTTTTCAATAATTCATTAATTATAGCCTTTAATTCCACTATTGAACATAGCTGTTCTTCATAGATTGGCTTATAATGGGGATGATTACCATATTTGTCACGCTTGGTAAACAAGTTGGTAACAGCAGTTTTTTTTATTAATTTAAGTCGTTATCAGTGAGATGATTTTTATATAAATAGAGATTTATTTATTTGTTTTGTAACAAACACGTAAAATGCTTGTGTTACTTACTCTATTATTTATTGAGAATAATATTCCAGATTTTATTTTGTAAATAAGAGGTGTTTGCAAAAGAGGTTTAGGGGCCCCTCGGGCCTTATGGCTTACGGTCTAGGCAAAATGCCTGTGACATAATTAGGCCCTAACGGCAGGTCACGGGTTCGTGCCGTGTAGTGTAATAGTTTCTTATCCACATGATGGTGATGTGGATGATGATGAAGTGGTTGCTGTGGCCCATATACACCTACGAGTATTTTTAATTGAGAATAACTATGTTAGCTATTATAAGGCAATGCTGTATTTTAAACCAGTGGTGCTCTAGCCAAAGATAGTAAAGCGCGTTTAGTTTAACATTGTAATCAGTTGGGTGTGCAAAGTCCGAAGAAATCTCAACTCTTAATCTAGGCGGTCAGAGTACTCTCCAAAGATACATCCCGGAATGTAAAGGACATGGTAAGTGGAGTCCTCTCTGCTGTAAATAGACACGAGTGTATATAACCTCTGAGCACTAATATACAATGCCTCGTTACCAGTAAAATCTGTATCCGGTTATTGTCACTCACCATACGGAATATGGCAAGAGCTAGAGTGCTATTTTGATGTTCACTCACGCACACATCTATCATCTTTCTTTCTTTGCCCGTAAATACATTACACTACTGGAAGCACATATATGCACCTAAAACCGTGTTGTTCGTTGCAAATTATTTAAGGTGCATATGTGCGTGAGTGCTCTTACAATAAGTTAACCATGGTTTAGGTTTGGGTTTACCATATGCACAGCGTAGCGCTCCGCTTATCTTTCTTTGTTCGTCTGCGGTGTACAGATAAAGCTTGAATAAAATAACATCATTATCATTACACAACTTACAACGTCCTTTTCCCCATGAGGAACATGAGCAGATCAACGAAGTAGGCGGGTAGGACATGCGTGAAGAAGACAGCAATCAGGTGTAGTACTCGTGAACTCTTGGTTGAACCGCCAGGGTACCACAGGCATACGGAAAATGGGAACTCTTGTACGTGTACACGACCTGAAAACAACGTTGATTGCTTTTGTGTTGTGATCATGATTATTAAAAACATGTTTTGACTTTAACTTCATTTTAATAAATTTGGTTGTATAATTTTTAAAAAAAGTATAAAAAAATATTAAAATTATTATTATTTGTTACGTATTACGTAGCACCCCGATAGCTCAGAGCCTAAGTGCTCACTGTAAATTTCACTGTACGCGAGCAAGTAGGGTTGGATTCCCGCCGGTACCGATGAAATTTGTTATTTGCAATTTTAAGTGCTCATTTACCACGAGCTTAACAGTGAAGGAAAATGTCAAGAAAACCGGCATGTGTAATAAATTGAAATGAAGAAACAAATATCGAAGACAACATGTGAAATCCGCCAACCCACATGGGGGCAGCGCGGTAGATACTTCTTTAACCTAAAACCCTTTTAGAAGTGAACCTGTACCCAGAAGTGGGACGTGTATAAGCTGTCACTGCTTTTACTTTCATATCATGTTATATAATATATATATGTACATACACAATTGGTTTTAGTAGACATTTTGGATAGTCAAAGGGTAAATCAGCTGTAATAAACGTAATGGTAAATAACTACCCATATCTATTCCTTGTCCCCAAGTAATAGGGTTTAGTCCCGATTCGGTAATATTGCACACTCTGATCTCCTTTGGTCTGTAAAAAGATAAAAAAAATGGAAGTGATGAAATAAGATATTTAAGAAAAAAATAAAGTGAAAATTGTATGTGCTGAAACGTTTTATATAACTAGTTTGGCCATTATAGATTATAGAATGGAATCACGATTTAATGTCGTTCGAAGAACCGTGCCGCGTCCTACGAGTGTATGTGCGCAACTGCCCGAGGAAGGAATACGAATAATCCCCGATAATGTGCTTGTAGGTGCAGTGGTTGTTCGGGAGCGCTTCTTACTTAATTTATTTCTGACATGACGGTATACAACAATCAAACTATAAACTCAAAAATTCAAAAAATAAATAGCATAACAGAAAAAATAATCACATAATAAATAAATATTTTATAATGTGTCGCTTACAGCCATAAATAACGTTATAACTTCAAAATTTCCTCTTTTTCTGGACTCAAATATGGATTTCTTTTATTATGTACATAACTACAATTGATTTGTGGGTATGGAACGTCATTTGTGGGTATCAAGGCAAGAGTGAACAGACTTTTCTATCGATTTCAAAAAGGAGACGGTGTTCAATTCGACTGTATGTTTTTTTATGTGGGTTTTACCTCATAATTTTTTTCTGGGTGAACCAATTTCGATGATTCCTTTTTCATTTGATATCTGATACTTCTCATGTGGTTATTTAATATCTGATACTTCTCCCGGTTTACCTAGAAAAAAGTTATGATGTAAAACACACATAAAAAAGAACATAAAGTCGAATTGAGTACCATCCCCTATTTGAAGTCGGTAGGAAAGTCTGTTCAGCCTTGTTTTAATACCCGCATTGTAATCGGATGGAAAGACAGCTGAGTTCCACTGCTTTGCTGTACGCATGACAAACGACGAAGCAAATCGTTTGGTTCCAATACATGATAAGTAGACAACAATATTCACACAATCATTTCGAAACAGCATATTGAAACTAGTTTTTTTTTTAAATAAAATATTCGTTTACTTACTTTTCAATGGCAGTAATATACGCTAATAAAATACACCCATTGACAGCCATATCAACGGGAACCATGTCTGCTCGATATGTGTCGTTAAGGTGCATTGTCCTGATTACCCCTGCAAAAAACAAATAGCATACTGTTATATTTTTGGTTAATTAATTCCCGATTTACTTAGCACGCTAAGTTTGTTAGAGGTCAATTTGCCCTTTCCTCACACGTGACTGCCGAATGGGACACTACTCAAAAACTACTAGCTACCCTGTTACTGGCTGAGACAACGAGGGGAGTGCCTTCGAAATGAGAAGATATGACAGAGCGGTAAACCACAAACCTTTGTCTTTTTTGTCGACTAAATTTAGTCAGCCTTAATCAAAGTCTTGTTTATACAGTTTACTTCAAACAAGTTTGTTCCAACGAAGTGTTCTAGAAATATAGCCCCTGGCATCGAAGCACGTGCCCCACTTGCGTCTCTGGTATCCGGTTCTTCCAGTTTATTGATAACGAGAAAGTCCATCTCATCATCCTCAAGGATGGCATTTTGATTTTAAGTCGAGACTAACGCAGGTATCTATGGGCTAAAGGTAGACTGTGTACTCGTTTGTGATCTTCACTTCAACGGACATAAAACATTCTAGTCTTTCGCAAGTAAATAGTGCAATGTTGATAAAAGCTAAAAATCGTAAGATGCTCAAGGCCTTTTTGGCCTCTTCATAAATTTCAAAGTTTTGTGTACTATATTGTAAGTTAATTTTGTCTCACCTTTTCCCGCTCCAACCAGTAGCCCTGTAGGTCCGTTCATATTGTCTACCCAACCTGGCATTGGTTCCTTGTGAGCTGCTGTTACTGTAATATAATCAATTTAAAATAAATTAAATTAAATTTGAAATTAAAATACAATTACATTACACAACTTATTCTTCTGTGCTCGGGTTTTGTAAAAATTGTTATTGTTGAATATTTATTTTTAACGAGTAAAAATACTCGTAGCAGAATAAAAATTAAAAAGTAAAATGTTTCTTATATTGTCGTCAATACTAGTTTCAGTTGAACGTAAAAGTTTCACTATCTCTTACCAATAGAAGGCCGTGCGATAGCGATGGGGAATTTTCCAGCGTATTGTGACACCAGGTCTTCAGTCAAAGACTTTGTGTAGGCATAGGTGTTTGGCTGAGGTTCGATCAACCTTAAAGTAATAATTTGATTACAAATCTCCACTACATACCGAAATAAACGGTACGCTATCGACATACAAACACAGAGTTTGCCAAGTATGGCAGGTAGATTGGCGTCAGTAGTATCAAATGCCTGGAGTTTAAGATGTGACACTGTTACAAATTTCTATTAAGGTCAGGTAAGAAAGGGAGAAATAACGCACCACCTACCTAATCAGATGAACTAGTCCTACCACCTAGCTTAGATTCTCTTATGCAACCAAAGCATGACTTTGGAGCCATTTTTTAATCAATAATGCTTATTAATATAATAGTAAGTATAAAACAGTAACTCCATTAGTGAGTTATAAGATCGTTATTAATATCAAACATAGTGGACTATAATGTTTTTAAAAATAGAGTCTGTCGGCAATTTTACTTGTTTTTGTAATTGTTGATATACATAAAACTGTTACGCTATGGCCTTAGATTAATAATAGGTCATCACGCGCTCTGACTAGATACCGCCGGGGTTCTTGTTAAATGCGGCAACAAATACTACGCCGAAATCGGCGTACCCGAACCAGTCGCGTTGCAGGCGACATGTGATATGAACGTACCGAATGTTTTATTAAACTTTGATCATAATCCGAAGTAAAATACCAGCTTGCGTAGTGAAACTGGGTAAAAATAATACTACAAGAAATAAGAAAGATACTGGCATCACATACTGTCAGTAAGTATCATACAATTTCGAAATTTCAACACAAAATAATACGAGCCATAAATAAGTTACAAAATATGAATGACGTCATTCAGTGATGCCGCGTGTACAAAAATAAAGTTCCCCGTGGCTGAGATTTTTATATGTGAATTTATTGTAACTATATTTTATAATATAATATATTTAGCTTATTATAATATAGCCTAGTTCTATATTATTTAATGTTTATTTTTGTAGTATTGCTCAAATGACCTAGTATTTATATGTTGTTTTATTAATTCATACGTGGTAGAGCCATGCTGCAGCTATATTTTTGGTATAGTTGTAGCACGAATGGGTCGGCTCGACCGGGGAAGGACCACGCTCTCACAGAATACCAGCGTAAAATAGTAGCTTGATGCAGCTGTGTTTTGTATGGTGAGTGTAGAGAACCAGTTGCGAATGTCGAAAATTTGCAGCATAAACGGCAGTATCTTTTGATTGCGTTGGCTTAGAAGTTTGATTTTTTCACAGCTCTAAGGGACAGTAGACTTGAGTATTTGATATGAATATCAGCTTGATACCTCCACGCGTTCCTGAAAAAATGGGTTTTGACAGACAGACAGACAGACAGATGGACAACAAAGTGATCCTATAAGGGTTCCGTTTTTTCCTTTTGAGGTACGGAACCCTAAAAACGGCCGGCATTGATCATCAGAAAAGGATTGGTCTTTCATGATGATAACGCCATACCACAAGATTAGTTTTCTGTTTGAGACTTTCAATACACACAAACATTCCTAAAAATCCAGTATTTGCTTGAGAACTTAAAACTGGTTTAAAACTTTTAATCATTATTTTCTTTAGTTTCTTGTGTTCTTTAAACGAAAGCTTTCTGGAGGTTTTACTATTTAAGTTTATAATATATTGTTTCGCATGTTCTAAATAATTAAGAATAATTATTTTTATTTCCATTATAAATGCGATGACTAAATCCATGTTGCTTCAAATCTCTGGTATTAAATATATCTAATAAAACTATTTGTCGCATTTTTGTGATCAAAAATCCTAAGATTTCTACAGCAACGCGATTATGTCATTACCTACAAGATCGCAACAAGTTATCGAACAAAATGGACCCATATATATTATAATTAAATGTAATAAAAGTTTAAAACAAAAAATGTCTTGAATTTGTATTTAAAGTACGAACCAACTTTTTCCCCGACCTTATATACTAAGTAAAAGTGTAACAAAATATTACTCAATAACTTAGGGAATGATTCTGCCCGTTAACATGAATAACTTTATTATGGGATCATCTTCGATATTTTCAATCTATACGTGGTAGAGCCATACTGCAGCTATATTACTGGTATAGTTGTAGCACGAATGGGTCGGCTCGACCGGGGAAGGACCACGCTCTCACAGAATACCAGTGTAAAATAGCAGCTTAACCGGTTCAGTACGGATGACACGCCAGGCGTGCCATCAATTACTTTTGTGTGTGGCGTATGACACACGAGTCATGTCTTTTTGAAAATCGTTATAACTCGCTCAAATTGCGTTTTTTGGAAAATTTATCAAGAACAAAATATTCATTATTTTGCAAGAAGCTCATGCCTGCAGCTTCATTTCTGGATATTTCGAAAATTTGAAATTTTTAGGGGTTGACAACCTTTTCTTAACTTGTACATGGTACTCTTTTTACTTCGTGGGTTTTTATTCATGTTGTGGAAAAATAGTCTAATAAGTAACAAATCATTCAGCACTCATTGCGATCGCTCACAAACTCAAGTTGTAAATAAATTTCTAGAAAACAAGTCTCCTGTTAAAAAAAAAACAATGCGTTTGTCTTATTGTACGTGTGATATGGTATAAGGTTTATTTTTGCTTGAAACAGTTTGAAACCGTTCATGCATAAAAAAAAGTTCGCTAATAAATAGTCTTTCGCCAATCCGCCGCCGTATAGCGCCGGCGTTTGTTTCCTTTTGAAAACACTTGTTTTGCTATTCTTACTAATTAGACGTTTTCAAATCGACTTTAACATCATTTGTATAACATTAAATAATATTTAACATTTGTAAATATTAATGAATCATAAACCTTATTTTTTTCCAAATTAAGGTTCTTGATCGTTTGATTTACAAAGATTATTATTAGGTGAAAATTTAATTTAATAAAAACCAAGGTTTTCCAGGGTGATTTAGCTGTACCTACTTATATAAATGATTTTTTTATAAAACAAAAAATAGTACAAAATATTTTTATTCTCTGCATAAAAAAACGTCACTTACTCTCAATTTCAAAGAAAACACGTAGTTACCTACTAAAAACAAGTATCCTTCTGTTTGTAAATGATGTTTGATGTCAACTAAACTTAATTAGGTTTAAACAAGTGAAAAAAGCATAAAAAAGATAGTTATTTTTACACATGGCGGATGGCACAAAAGGCGTGTCATCAATGTCTGTGGCGTGTCATGAAATATTTGTTCGCCGCCACAGCTAAAAGTTGTCGAAAATTGGTGCCGCAACGAATCGGTTAACGCTGCTTTGTTTCGTATGGTGAGTGTAGAGAACCTGAGACCCTTTTTACTGGAAACGAGGCATACCAACTTTGTCCTCAGGGGTTGCAACGCATATGCATTTTGATTCTTAACCGAAGATAGAAGTAGATGTCTATGAGCCACAGCAACCACTTACCATCAGATGGACTGTGTGCTCGTTTGTCACCCTGATCCTGTAAAAAAATCTCAAAATCAGTTATTCCATACAGAATTTTGAACTTGTTCGAAATGTATGGAAGACCTGATTTCAAAGATAGATCTATTGTAAAAGTTGTTCATATTGACGCGTAGAATAGAAATAGAAAGCACTATTTTGGTTACACCATATAATATATAACTAATTTTTTAAATAATTTGTGAATATTAGTCAGACATTTAAATATAAAAATTAAACTGATAAAAATGAAGCCTTATCATTTATATGACATTTATTTAGAAGAAAAACCTATACATAATATACACAAATATATTGATACATTCGCTATTATTAAATTATACATTTTTAAGTATTTCTGGTCTACATTCATAACTATGAACTTAACTACTAAGTATGGCTTAAAATAAATTTTCCCGTTAATCGGGTAATAGTTAAGCTGCTAGCATATACAATTTTTCACGCACACTAGCATCCTTGCAATTGTTTTATACACACTGCAATATTGAGATGCCGCATTCACGGAGCTGTCATTGTCAAGTAGTGCGGTATCTAGTCAGAGCGTGCGATGACCTATTATCAATCTAAGGCTATGGCATTCTGATATTTTTTTCTTATTAAAAGTCAGCACAGGAATTTCTCATGTATCGTGGAAACATGACATAAATTGTTAATGGAAAGATTACGAAAACCTGAACTATTATTTGTAAGTCATACAAATTATTATTCTATGGGTTTCGAACTCGCGACTACTGCTACGTCATTTTTGATAAAAAAAAGTTATGTCTCGTTTTTGCTATTAGAATGTCATCATCATCATTACAGCCTATGACAAGTCCACCGCTGAATGTAATGCTAATGTATACTTTCTCCAAGGAATGTCACGAAGCTTGGTGTTACTGCTTACTGCGTCTCTTATAGGGTTGCCTCACCATCCTGTGGAGGTCGCCATTTCTTCCTCATCGGTTGTTGGTTTTTGAGCCTTACATAACTGTCTATCAAATTCTACTGTTGCACATATGCCACCCCCATAAACTGCCTCATAGAGGGGATATTTGCCATATTCGTTACGCTTATCAGGCGGGTCGTCAACAGCAGTTTTTAACTATTTTGAGATCTTATCAGAAAGACGCTGCAGCCCATCATCTGTTTCCCTTTGTCGCCTCTTGCGATACCCACGGGATGATATGGGGTAGTGGATACTACACGGCTATTAGTATGTATGTTAAATTATTTTTCTTTTGGTTATACGTAAGTATTATAGTATATTATAGTTGCAGCATGAATGGGCCAGGTCGACCGGAGCAGGACCTTATTCTTCGGAACCTCTCATACTCTCTCTCTCTGAGTTTCTCACTCACTCAGAATACCGACGTCAAATAGCATCTTAATGCTGTTGTTTCGTATGGTGAGTGTGGAGAACCGGAGACAATTTTTACTGGCAAATACGTATTGCATCTTAATTCTCAGGGGTAACCAACACATTTGCATTTAGATTCTTAATTAAGCATATATGTAGCTATCTATGGGCATCCACTTACCATTTGAACTGTGTTCGTTTTTTACACTTATTCTATGAAAAAAAAATAGGTATATACTTATGCTCTAAGCAACTAAGCAGGTCATCGTCCATCAACTTGACACAATCTACCACATTTTGAGGTAGATACCGTGAAGGGTATAGACGTTCTTCTAGGAGCGGTAATTCGCAACGGCAGTATGCCGTAGAAACGTGTAGAAATGCCTGAAAACGGTAAAAACGACAAGTGACTATAATTCGTCGACGATATATATACATTTTATGAGAAATTATAAGACAACTTAAATACTTATGGGTGCTGTTCTAAAAATTTGAAAGTGATAATGATTACATAATTGATTTTATATCTATCTTTCATGTGTATATTCTTAAGAGATTCAGCCTTATTTATTTTTTTAGAGTAGATTTGCAATCCTTGTATAATGATAGCCACTTACCATCAGGTGGAATGCAAGCTCGTTTTGTAGTTTTTGTCGTATGTCCTGTACTTATTTCTTGTTTTATTTGTTATACACAAAACAAGACAAACTATAATACAGTTAGTTCGTACAAAGGTTCTAATTATTCCATAATTTACTGAAATATCTTTCAGTAGACCCATAAAGGAAATATATATAAAAAACGGAAAACTTAGATAAATATACATAATATTCTATAAATTATGATAAATAATAATTATATGTATACGATAATTACATAATATATTATGTATAATATACCTAGTCAGGTCATAAGTATTGTCACACAGTAAAAACTTTTCTTTTAGAATGCTGGCCACAAAAAAGTTTATTGAATTCGAATTTCAAATTGTTCATGAAAATAAAACTGTAAGTAAACTTTTTAGAAGTTTACTCATTTTTAAATATGGAATGGACGCTTAAAAAAGACCGTTTTGTAGTTATTGCGTTGCATCGTTGCGGTTACGCGCCAATTAAAATTTTTGACATACTGAAAAATTTGAATATAACCAAAAGATTCGTTTATCGTACCATCAAACGATACAATGAAGACTCTAGTGTAGATGACAGGTCAAGAAGTGGTCGCCATCGGTCTGTTAGGACTCCAGCAGTGATAAAAGCTGTGAAGGCGCGAATTCAAAGAAATCCCGTACGTAAGCAGAAACTGTTGGCCCTTCAGATGGGGTTAAGCAGAACCACGGTGAAAAGGGTGTTAAATGAAGACTTAGGGCTTCGGGCATATCGAAGAAAAACAGGACATCCTTTGAATGCTCGTCTAATGGACCTGAGACTGAAGAGATGCCTCGCTTTGTTGAAGCGGTACGCGGGAAAAAAATATATGAGAAATTCTTTTTTCGGATGAAAAATTTTTACCGTAGAAGAGAGCTACAACAAAGAAAATGATAAGGTGTACGCACACAGTAGTAAAGAAGCGAGCAACAGTATTCCGCGTGTCCAACGAGGTCATTTTCCATCCTCGCTCACGTCAGAAATCAGAATGTTAGGCGTAGGTAATTAGAATTACCCACGCTTTTTGGGTAAGTCCGTAAACATAGATAAACCTAGGTTTATTATTTTTTGGCATCACCTGTACCATGAATTAATTGAATAAACATAGTTTAAGCAACCGTATTTCAACATATAATCGACTGTTTTTCTTGGCTTGCTACAAGAATATCGAGCACTGCCTGCGAGTGAATTAAAGGGTTCAGAGTCAAAAAACATTAGAGTATAGATGTTAGGTACTTCCTGAATATGCAGTGACGTCTCGGTAAGATATTATTTAAATGCAGTTAGCTTAGCACCGTCATTCGAGGCAGTCTGTGAGAAAGGCTTATGTTCTTTAGATAACTAGTACAATTTTATCGAATAATTTTTACCGAAACCTTATTAATTAGTAGGTATAAGTTTAAGTTACAGTTTTATTAATATTTTTATTGTACCAAGATTGTCTCTTACTGTACTCTTCTGTAGATTTGTGTAGGCTCGGCTAACCTACGTATGTCGGGGACAATAATACTGATATATTTTTAGCGTAAGAACGTACCTCAAGCTTCTTCATTCTTTCAGCTAATTTCAGCACCTTCATAGTGCCCACAGTGTTCAAGTTAATAGCATCTCGAATAAACATGTCGAATCTGTAATTAACGAATTGATATTTAAGTGCTCGGAATTGTAAATTATAAAGGTCTGCTCCACATGATGCTTTAATATCTTCTTTCTAATATATAAAAACAATGTTTCTTTGTTCGTATTTTATGCTTTGCTAAACCGTTCATCAGATTGCGGTAAAACTTTGTCAACTTATTTCTTGTACTTGCGCAAAAGTTATAGGGTTATAGGCATAGTACAATAACTAACATTAGGTGGCGCGCGCATCACTCCGACCAATTTATTTGAAAGTTATGCCACCATGGAGGACGGAATTAAAGAGCCTCTGAAGGACTTCCAGTACCGGTTTTCCACCCTTCAGAAGCTCCGCTGTAATTCCATCCTCGCCTGGGGCCTTGCCGTTTTTAAAATGCTGGAGAGCCATTCTAATCTCGCTCAGACTGACGTCCGGGATATCTTCGGAATAGTATGGGATAAGACTCTTGGATCGTTACTCACAATTACGTGTGGCTCCAACGATGACGTGTACAGCTGCCCATAGAACCTCTCAATCTCACTCAAAATCTCAGGTGAATGATCCCCGGAAATGATGCTGCCACACTCAGTCTTCAGCTTTGACAGTTGGCTCTTTCGGGCAGACAGATCTCTGGCAAAGACTTTGGAGCCTTGGTTCCGCTCGATCGCTTCTTCAATATACGCTGTATTGAAGTTGCGTAAGTCCCGCAGCATGCATTTGGAGATCTGTCTGTTCAGTAGCCTGTATGCTGTCAAATCTGTTGAAAAATGTAGCTTCATCTCGCGTCTAACAGCCATGAGACTAAGAGTGTGATCGGAGAGTTTTTGTGTTCTTCTGCGGCGGGTCTTGCAGAACTTAGCTCCGACCGCATGGACAGTTTCTACGAGCTTGTCATTCATATCGTCCACTTCATTGCAGTCTTCTAGGCACTGAAAACAGTTTTGTAACTCGAGCTGAAAGGTTTCGGGACTGGTACAGAGCACGAGGGGGACGGAGCGTTGACTTCATTAGACGAGACCTCTCCAACTTAACGTTTAGGTTCAGTGTGCCTCTAACCATTCAGTGATCGCTACCAGTTTTCACCCTCGCGATCACGGAGACATCACTCAACAGTTGTCGTCTGGTCGTCATAATCAAGTCAATCATATTTTTTGTCGAACCGTCGGGGCTCGACTAGGTCCACTTCCTGTGGGGCCGCTTCTGGAAGAAAGAGTTCATCATAAAGAGTCCCTCTTTCTCCATGAAGTCGGCCAGCTGCTGGCCCCTAGGGTTCCGTTGCCCTATTCCAAATTTCCCTACTTTCAGATCACCGTTCTATCTTGTGCCTAGTTTTGCATTGAAGTCTCCCATTAACACCGTATATTGGGTTTTGGAGGAATGCATGGCTCTAGAGATATCCTCATACATTTCCTCCACCTCCTCATCGGGGTGTGCTGAGGTTGGAGCGTAAACCTGTATGAGCTTCAGCGAATACCGTTTGGTGATTCTGAGTATAAGGTACGCAACCCTCGTCGACACACTCCCGATCTTTACGTTGTTAACGAGAGACTTGTGGACGATAATTCCGACACCTCCTTGGGACAGATGGTCGCCCACCCATCCCGGTGATAGAGCAAGTTGCCGGATTCGAGGATTACCGTGTCCTTCCCTTTCGGACTTCGGATAATCCTATAATATGCCAGCGTAACTCGTCTATTTCTTTTTCCAGCTCCACGATCTTCTCGTCAGTCGTCAGGGTGCGTGCGTTGTACGTTGCCAGGTCGAGTCGTCTAAGGTGGCAACCGAACCTCCACCGGAGATTCTTAGCACCCCCTGCCCCGCCGGTACCATGGTCGTCATCGTAGCCAGGAATAGCGTGGCCGCCGGGGACTGGGGGCCGTCTCCTTGTTACTCTCTACATAGGGGGGTATTTGCCATAGTTGTCACGCTAAGCGAGCGGTTTGGCAACCGCAGTTTTTTTATTGTAATTTTGGCTATTATCAGGAAGATGCTGCTGCCCATCTCCTGCCTGTTTCCCTTTGTCGCCTTTTACGACACCCACGGTAAGATATGGGGTAGTGGATATTCTTGACCGTCACTACACGGCGAGCAAAACTTACGATGATCTAAAACGGAGCTAATTAATTACCTAGTTGCTCATCCGAGAGGAAATGTTTTCATTTATTCACATACTATATACAACAATAAAAAGTAAAAATATACAATTAACACAGTTCCTAGTATATTATCAAGAACGCTGGCTGCGTTTAGTTGTATGCCTAAGCTTTGCCTTTGAGCGTGCAACCAATTAGTAGCAATATGGCAGAAATATAGAGTCATCATTTAGAGACTCATGTTGGCTCCATTTACTCCAAATGAGGTGCTACTGTGATGAGAGGTCATGGAAGTGTAAACGCAGCTAGCAATTCACAAAAAGATAAATCGAAAATAACTTTCTACGGCTAGTTGCAGTCACTGGCAAAAAGCTGGTTCTTTTCTTGCCTGAAGGCTAAATTACAGCTATTCAGCAAATAAACGCTGCCAGCTATAGGACAGGGAGCAAAATTTCTTCTTCATTTTATTCATTAGCTCATAAATGTCTACTGTTGAGCAAGCCTTTGGGTCATTCGGGCTCAAATCCAGTCCGAAAAAGAAACTATGGTAGAGCGTGTGAATCTCACACTACAGGCAGTCTCCGAAAAGGGCGATGGCAATTTTGTGAAATTTAACGACTCCAAAACACAAGCCTGTCTCTGCACTGCAAAAAATAGCCAGCTCTCCTTGGCTCCTTCTTTCCAAAATGTATCACTGGAATACACTGACCGCAATCAGTTGTTGGGGGTTGAGATATCCTTAAATCTGAACTTCAGGCGGTTCATTGATTCCAAGACCAAAGCAGCTGCAAGGAAGTTAGGAGTACTTGCAAAGGTGCGGCGATACTTCACACCGAGACAGCAGCTTACTTCAAGCACTTAAAGCGCAAGTCTATTGGTGCATGGAATATTTCTGCCATATTTGGGCTGGTTCTGCAAAACGCCACCTAGCAGCTTTGGATTAAATGGAAAGGTGTGCTAAGAGGCTTATTGGTGACCCGAATTAGGTTAAAACTAATCTTGCCAGCCTCAAACACAGACGCAAAATAGCCAACCATTCGGTTTTTACAGGTTACATTTCGGAGAGTGTGCGCAGGAGTTGCATAATTTAATTCCTCACTCTCCCTTCTACCATTGGACAACCAGACGTTCGACCAGTCTCCACCCTTTCGTTGTTGACTTACCACGCATTCGAACCAAACGGCTTGCTACATTGTTCATCATGCGTACAGCAGAGAAGTGGAATAAGTTGCCAGCATCTGTCTTTCCATCCGTTTACAGTATGAGTGTCTTCAAGGCAAGAATGAATAGGTGTTTGTTAAGTTAGAGCGCTTCACTATCTATCACTATCACCACTTAACATCAGGTGGGATTGTAGTTAAGCGCTGGCTTAGAATAATATAAAAATGTGATTTTTAAAATCGAATTTGCTTTAATCGTTAAACATAGCAAACACTTCTTCCCACCGCAGGTCTAGATATACTTCTGGAGTCAACGAGATATTTATATCTTCATCTATCGGAGGCCTTAATATCGTTTTAGTATATCTAGGATTCCTTCTGTGTATTTACTGTCATTATAGTTTCGCCACTAACTGGTTCACCCCCGCCATAACTCCACCGCTAAACCTAACCAAGTGTTCCACAACTGAATGAACGGAAAACGTATAATATTAAAATCTCTATATGTAAAAATCAAACGCTGTCCGTTAGTCTCGACCGATTTTGATGAAACTTTGTGTGTGTGTATGAATGGACCCTAGATGGTTTAGATTCACATTTGGACTCAGTAGTTTGCGTTGTTGTCGAGATCCAGAAATCACCCTTGCGAATCCAGTGCCTATTGTGCTAGTCTTAAATAATTGCAGGTTTTAGTTTATTGTAAGTCAAAATGTTTACCTTACACAAGCCGCGCAGTGGAAAATGATCTGACATTCTCTTTGCAGCTCCTCCCAGTCCTGAATAGAAATACCTATATCTTCCTGCAGTATGTCTCCAGGGACCACTTGTAGTTTGTCAAATACTTTTGGCGACAGATCTTGTAATTTGTCAAAAACCTGAAAATTAATAAATGTAATTATAAAGTGTAGGATATATATATATAAATTTCTCTTTACTAAGTAACTTACGCGGCAGTTAATAAAGTCGTCAAGGCGTTCTTTTGTTCCCAGGCCTTTCTTTGGTCGCATCAACAGATATATTTTGTTGATTTCTGGACAACAACGCAGAAGCTTCTCTATGAGAACTTTTCCCATAAATCCCGTTGCACCAGTTATGAAGATGCTTTTTCTTGCGTAGTATTCCGAGACGCCGATAGATGGCGCCATGGTGTTTGATTATCCTGTAAAAGGAAGTTATTTAATAAGTAAAATATGCTAATATTATTTTTGGCAAATATATTTATTTCCATACATTATCCATACATTACAGCCCCTAGATTGCTTTGTGGGGGAATATTTGCCATAGTTGCCACGTCAGGCAGGCGAGAAAGCAATCGCATTTTTATTATTTTGAGTTGTTATTAGGAAGATTGTTTTATGATGATTGTGGTAGAGCCAGCTGCAGCTATATTAATAGTATAGTTGTAGTGCAAATGGGTCGGCTCGACCGGGGAAGGACCACGCTCTCACAGAATACCAGCGAAAATTAGCAGCTTAACACTGCAGTGTTTCGTATGGTGAGTGTAGAGAACTGGAGACTCTTTTTACTGGAAAAGAGGCATTCTATCTTAGTCCTCATGGCTGACAACGCATCTGTATTTTAATCCGCAAACGAAGATAGAATTAGATGTCTATGGGCCACAGCAACCACTTACCATCAAGTGGACTGTGTGCTCGTTGGTCACCCTTATTCTATAAAAAAAAGATGCTTTTGCCCGTCTCCCGTTTCAGTTTCTCTTTGTCGCTTCTTAGAACACCCACGGGTTGATATAGGATAGTGGATATTCTACCTCTGCTATACGGTTAGATATTAATTTAAATATAAATATTCTAATTCTCCTTCTTAATCAATCCTTAAATGTTCGTAGTAGGACAGCTCTTCTTTTAATACGTAGTCCCACGTCTGTGGTACACGAAGTACCGCTCTCTATAGAAAGTCATGAGATTTTTCTGGCATTTACCACAGTTGCTCCATAAGTCACTTCCGAGATTGAAAGAGATGATGATGGTGTTTACGATGTCACCACAGGGCATAATATTTTATTTATGTAATAACTAAAATTGGCCTAAGTCATTGCAAATGACGGCTCCGTGGCGCAATGGCTTAGCAATGAGTTGTTGCGCCGGGGGCTGCTGGTTCGAATCCCGCACGGAACAAGTATTTGTATGTCCTACAAATAATTGTTTCGGGTCTGGATGTTTGTACTCGTGCAATGTATGTTTGTAAACTGCCTCCACGATACAGGAGAAAATCCTAGTTTGGGGGTAACGTTTTTTTAAGAAAAAAAAAATGAAATAAGTTTCAATAATCTATTTAATCATAACATTTTATGTACTTAGTTAACTATACATTATTTTATACCTAAGCTAGTGTCTTACTGTGGTATGGTCGTGTAAGAATGTGCACTACCTTATATTATTCCGTGTGTATCGTAAAAGTTGATAAGGGAAAACAAAAAACCCGGCCACGTTCGAGTCGGACTCGCGCATGAAGGGTTCCGTAAAATACGTTTCTAGTATGGTAGCCCCCTTTAATTTTTAATTTTTTTAATTTTTTTATCGTATATTTGTTATTATAGTGGCAACAGAAATACACATTCTGCGAAAATTTCAACTGTCTACCTATTACGGATCATGAGATATAGCCCGTTGACAGACAGACGGACGGACGGACAGCGGAAGCTTAGTAATAGGGTCTCCTCCTATAAATTTACATCATTAGCAGTACACAGAATTCGCCTTTTGAGTATTTTTCAATACTTATTATAAAATTAATAAAATGGCGTGGCTATTTCTAAAAAAATTGTATTTTTTGACCACGAAGTCAATGGGTATGTGAGCCCGTTTCAACCGGCAGTATGACGCATTTTGTAATAAGGACATTGACATTTTTACCTTCGCAAAACAGTTTTACATTGTATAGATCGAATATAAACGACGCGATTAATGCCGGCTTACGGGGACGTGAAATAATATTTTAGGGACAATACATTGATGAATACAAAAGACTAGAATGTGTGGACGAAGACGTTTCAATGGATGCGATTGTAAATAACGTGATGTAATTTCAGGCTTTTACTCTCGAATACGCCAGCGTGCAGTTGTAACACATGAATTGTATGTATTTTATGCGTAGTAGAGCCACGCTGCTGCTATATTATGGTAGTAGCACGAATGGATCGGCTCGAATGGGATAGAACCACGCACTCACATAATACCAGCATTATATAGCAGCTTAATAATGCTGTGTTTCGTATGGTGAGCGTAGAGAACCGGAAACCTTTGTAAACGAGGCATTCCATATTAGTCCTCACTGGTGACAATGCATCTGTATTGCATGCCGTAAGCGCAAAGCGCGAGGTATGTTCTACTAGGGCCTAAAAATTAAACTAATTTGCTTAATTCCGCGTAAAGAAAGAAAATGAAGTGTCCTGCCCAGTTTTAAGGGGACCTCCTACCCTCCCTTTAGGGAAACTTACTCGGGTAGGTACCGACCTAAAGAAGGTAATGGAAATAACTTTGAAAATTTTAGAGCAGTAGCGGTACTGTCAGCTCGAGCAAAAATACTAGAGTCCGCTATCCATTACAATTTATTCTTACAGGTTAGCACGCCATTATCAGATGCTCAATATGGATTCAGACCAGAAAGAAGTACTGACAGTAATCTACTCAGCTATATGGCTTAAGTTGTGCCAACTTATGGTACGTGGTAGAGCCATGCTGTAGCTATATTAGTAGTATAGTTGTAGCACGAATGGGTCGGCTCGACCGGGGAAGGACCACGCTCTCACAGAATACCAGCGTAAAATAGCAGCTTAACACTGTTGTGTTTCGTATGGTGAGTGTAGAGAACCGGAGACCCTTTTTACTGGAAAAGAGGTATTCCATCTTAGTCCTCACGGGTGACATCGCATCTGCATTTTGATACGCAAACGAGGATAGATGTAGATGTCTATGGACCACAGCAACCACTTACCATCAGGTGGACTGTGTGCTCGTTTGTCACCCTATCCTATAAAAAAAAACTTGGAACCCGCAGATCTCAACTCCTTTATCGGTAAAGCTGACAATCCCGATCGTTTTTATCGAATTTGTCCCCTTTTACACATTTATGTTGTTGTTGGAACTCTTTCGTGCATAATTAACGCTTCACTACTTTTTTTTAAAAATTAAATCTCGAAAAACTTAGAAATTTGGTGCGGTGACGTTCCAAGTGCTGGTTCCACGTACAGTATTTTAACTTGCCGCGTCGTTATTTTGTCGACTAGCATTGAGAAAAAAGGATTTTAGGAATTTATTGCGTTTGATTTTTTAATTTATCTTTGATTCCTGATGATAAGTTTACGTGGGTTAGTTTATCCTATAATAAATCTTAAAATTAATGTTAAAACATGTAATAGTCTTAAAATTTCTCACCTGTCACAAAAACTGTCTGGATGCTTGAAATACCGCGTAAAATAGTGAAGCGCCCACGAATGGTGGATGAAATGCTCGACTGTACTTACTGAACAGCAACGTAATACTTTTATATTACTTACCGCAACATCGTGTTATATGTCATTTAGGGTTGCGAAATTGGCTTCATTTAAAAAAAGACGTGTGTGTCTACTTATGCACGTAGGAAGTTATACTTCTTTAGCTAAACAAAACAAAAGTAATTACCTTAAATATAGTTATGTATCAGTTCCCACAAAAAATTGAGAGACTGTTACCCACTGAAGTTGTCGCTTTGAGGTGTCAGTATGCACGCGCATCGTAACAACTTCATGGTGTCGTTTTTAGCTGTCAGTGTGCGCGCGCATCGTATAAAATTCACTCTCATCGTTGGTCCCAAACCTTCCAAAAGTAGTATAACTTCAAAAAATTCATTTAATTACAAATTTAATGAAATATTACATTCGTAATAAAATTAATTAAAGATTTTAAAGGAACAAATTATACATCACGTATGTGGTTAGATGTTAGATGGTTTTAATTTTCAAATACTGAGTATAAAAGTTGCAAAAACAATGATTTGAAAATTAGCGCTTTAAAAAGTAATCCACTAGTTTTGCAGAAAAAATGTTTGGCTTTCTTCGAATCAAGTCAGATGTTGCCTTTTATATTGAATACGTTAGTATAAAAGCTAAACTATATTAGCTTATTTATACACTAGCTTTTGCCCGCGACTTCGTCTGCGTGGAGTTCGGTTATATCGCGCCCATGTGTGAAAAAGGGTCTGCTGGTACAAGCAACAATGATAACTGGATGTCGCGGGTCAAAGCTAGTAAATTATAAAACTTATTTATACACCACATTTTTTGCTAATCTATTACTGTGTGCCAAAATTATCAGACTACTGGGCGAGCTTACCCGTGAGTAAGCCACATAGAATTGCCCGCGTCAAAAACAATTTTCTCTCCCCGTCGTCTATACCTGCCAATTTAAATGTCTGCCCTTGTGATTTGTTTATGGTCATTGCAAATCAGACTTTGAGGGGAAACTGTATTCGTTTGAATTCAAAAAGATGATCATTTGGGATCAAGGGAATTCTTGGTACAAATACAATTTCCCTTTGCGCACATCCAGTTATAATTGTGGCTTCCACTACATAACGATGTAACGCTTTTACTTTTGTCTGGTTCCGTTGCACGGTTGAGGAGGTTTTAAATTTCGTAAAAACATAACAGGAGTAGGCGAGTAACGTGCAGAATACGCTCATGATGTGGAAAACCCGATGGATTCAGTGAATTAAGAAATTCTACAGGGTAGTTAATTGCGTCGTCTGTGTTGACCACAGAGTCTATTGACGTGTACACCATTTTTCCCCCTCAAAAGACGTTAACAGTATTTCCTTAATTGCCGCTGCTTGGTCGTTTTTCAAGGTTAGTATGGCAGTTCACATAACCATTCGTTTATCGTGGATATGAGCAATATCTGGATAAATTTTGGATATTTTGTTGATATTGTAACGTAAATACAACTATGCACAAATTATCATTCCGTCATTTATCGGGTAATGACCGTTGCCGATTTCAAGTAGGAGATTCGCAAATCCACCAGCAGACTCTTTTTCTCTTAAGTGTACGCGCATATTTTTCGAGAGCTTGCGGATTTTAATTAGAGGTCGTAAAGTGGATCTCTTAAGACACGCCTTAACTTCATCTGCTCTATTTCTTTTTGGCACT